AGACGTCCCAGGCTTCAGTTAGAGATGGAGAACCATTGAAAGACCAGTGAAATGGAAGGCTCCAGGCAGAAAAGAGCACCTAGGCCGAGGGGAGGGGCCCTGGGATGTTACGGTGGAAGTCAGCTGAAAGGAAGAGGACTACAACATGACTGGGAAGGAGCCAGGAGAGATATGGAGACCGTAGCCTTCAGTTTGGGGGAGGAAATAAAGTATCAACAAGCCTGTCAGGGTCACTAACCATGACAGAACACAGAAACGTGGGGCAGCAACTGGAAGGAATTGCTGGACCAAATAAGTGAATGACCCAGGCAAGGGGGAAGAAGATGGCAGCAGCAACACCTGTGACTGCCTGCAGGGGGCAGTAAGCCACACCACCTCACACAGGTGATGAGAAGCTACTGGAGATTCCCATCTCCATCTTTGCAGCACAGCCTGACCCCGTTGGTCCTCTCAGAAGCCTCAGACATAACCTTAGGACTTGCATTTCCTACTTGCGTTTCTTTTCTTTCAAAACTATTCTACCGAGCCAGGCATAATGGCACCAGGCCTGCAATCCCAGCACTCAGGAAGCGATAACAGGATTGTAAATTTCAGGTCAGCCTGGGCTACTTAGCAAGACTGTCTCAAGGGAAAAAAAAATTCTATAGGCAAATGGGCTGTGGACAAAGGAGTTTAATGAATTTCCACCACAGTTAGGACCCAGACCAGTTTCATCCTGCTAGAATGTTGAGACTCAAATAAGGGAATGGCAGGATCTGATTTAGCCAGAGAGAGCTTAGAAATGCCATCTGGAGTCAGGTGCCCGTGGCTCACGCCTGTAATCCTAGCTACTCAGGAGGCTGAGATCTGAGGATTGTGGTTGGAAGCCAGTGTGCACAGGAAAGTCTGTGAGAGTCTTATCTCCAATTAACCAGCAGAAAGCCAGAAGTGCAGCTGTGGTTCAAATGGTAGACTGCCAGCACCCCGCCCCCAAAAAAAGCCAAACAAGAACACCAAGTTCTGAGTTTTAAGTCCCAGCACTGGCCCAAAAATCAATGCCATCTGGAGAAGGGACAGTGCAGGCAACACTACAGGAATGACAGAGTCTTGGTGAAAAGCTGTGTGCCTGTAACACTGGCATGGGAAGAGGGCAAGGCGCATTCTGGAACAAGAGTGTGAAGGGTCCGGGAGACCCTCAAAAGGACCCGGGCAGAGCAGAAGTTTGGCATTCTGGAAAAGGGTCCTGACTGTAGATAAGAAGCTAGATGGGTTGCAGAGGTGGTGAAATCCCTTGGGAAGAAGGGGACAGTGGGAAGCCAGCGAGGAGTCTAGGGAGAGGCAGATGCAAGCTGCGGTATTGGGACAGGGCATGGGTTTCACTCAGCTTGGGCTGTGACTTTGCTGGGAACACTAAACTCTGGGCCTGGCAGAAGGAAGGGGCCATGAAGGTGTCCACCAACAGTTGGCTACAAGCCCAGTCCTCCACGATGGGCCTTTCTTACCATTTTCTGGTTTTCACTGAACCAGTTTCCCAGGAATTGCCTGTGCCCTTCAGTTTTAGGGTGAGCTAAAAACTATCCAGCCTAAGACATTGTCCAACCATTGTAATAGCACCAGCCCTGAATGCAGAGAAAAAAAGCTGATAAGAAATCTGACTCCCTGCCAGGTGTCAGGACTCAAACTCAGAACAGCAGAATGTGGGAGTAGTCTGGCCCACTCAGGTGTGGGTTGCTCATTTGTGTGCGTGTTCCCCAAGTGCTGGCCAAGCCGTTGCATTGTGCCTGACTCTAACAGTGGGCATTAAACGAGGCAAATTACATCTAGAAGGAGTGCCAGGGACAAGCCAGTGGAGCAGTGGTAGCCAAAGAAGCAGGCTGCCCCATGGCCTTTGTAGGAAAGGACTTTGAAGTTCAGCCAGGTACAGTAAGACCTAGGGGGATAAATAAATTTGAGCCAGCTGGGGTGGTCTGGCTTTGTCTGGCTTGATCACATGACCCAGTTCCAAATGTGGCCAGCAACTCAGCAATGAGAAGGTTGCGGCCAAGGTCAGGGATGCATTACTGGTAAATTTAGAGTTCTGGAGGGCTGTGTGCAGCCTTGTCTCTTTAGAAGAGGTGATGTCCAACCCTGACATAAATGCTTCACTTCTGCACCAGAAAACCTAACTAATAAGGCAACATGGGAATTAGCTACAAAAATGTGAATTCTGTTGTTTTCATTTAAAATACGCAGTGAAGCTGGGTGCAATGAAGCTGTAATCCTAGCTACTCTGGAGGCTGAGATCTGAGCATCGTGGTTCACAAAGTCCATGAGACTCTTATCTCCAATAGAAATTACCAAAAATCTTGGAAGTGAAGCTATGGCTCAAGTGGTAGAGCGCTAGAATTGAACAAAACAAAGCTCAGGGACAGCACCCAGGCTCTGAGTTCAAAGCCTCAGGACTGGCACCAAAAAATGTGAAATGATTCTGTTTCTGTAGTAATTCTATTTAAGAAAGCAGTCTGAGATGAAGGACTCAGGGAGAAGAGCTGGCCATCTGTAAGCGGGCAGATGTGGCGTCACTCAGGCCAGAGAAAATTCTAACTGCATGTCGCACACAGGCCTAGAATATTCCACCTTTTTGGAGCTTGTGGGCTCTCTCTCTCTCTCTCTCTCTCTCTCTGTCTGTCTCTCTCTCTCTCTCTTTTTGTTTTGCATTCCGAAGACTATGTGGTTTGCCTCATTTACAGTGATTTAGGAACATTGTGCTTGCCCTGGCTGAATTGTCAGCTCCAAGGTCCAGACTCTAGGAGCTGAAAGGAACTCTTTGTAGTCAAGGTGATTCATTGTCTAAACTGGGGACTAACCAACTGTTCCCATAAAGGGCCAGTGAGTAAACATATTTAGCTTTTGGGGCCAGGTTTCTGTCGCAACTAAACAACTCTGTCCTTGTAGCTTGAAAGCAGCCATGGATAGTACATAGATGAATGGACATGGCAGTGTGCCAACAAAACTTTATTTACAAGACCAGTAGCAACCAGAGCTAGCTTTTTAGCCATAGACTGCAGAAACTTTATCTAAAAGGAGGAGATGAAATCTTAGCATCTTGGATTTGGAAGTGACATTAGAATTCATAACGTGTCCCGCACTTCACAAGGGCAGGGTTAGGTGGAGCCAGGAGCTCCCTCCCTCCTGTCTAATGGGCCAGGGCGGGCAGCAGTGCTGCCTTGGCATTTGTAGTAGAGCCAGCTGACATTGGGGCTGGGCTTCTTGTAAGAGGCCTAGGACATGCATATCTGTTCCTGGCTTCCAGAAGCAGGAGAGAGCCCAGGCTAAGAAACCAGGAAGGGAGCAGGGAGATAGCAACTCTGTAGCTTGTCAGCCTTGAGACTTGTGTTCATGAGCCAATGAAGGTGGAAAAGCCGGGGGTGGGGGGGGGGGGGCGAGATTGATTCTCTAGGACCTGCAGAAGGTATAGGTGGTAGTTCACAGGAGCTCCGCTGGGAGCAGAGAGCCACAGTGGTAGGGGGCATGGGTTGTCAGGGGTATGATGGGGAAGCTCTTCCTTGCAGGAAGTCAATCTTATCTGAAGACTGGAAGCAAAGTGGGAATGTACAGAGTATGGCAAAGCCCATGGATGTCTGAACACAAGAGTGAGGAGGAGAAACAGAGTACAGACCAAGTCAGAAGCAACTAGCTATGGCACAGGGTTACAGAGAGACCATGAGGACCACCATGGTAGACCAAGGCAGCTAAGTAGGGAAAGTTTGGTGTGCACGATGTGGCCATTTTCAGTCGTTCCCTCCAGGTAGAGATCAGTAAGTAGGCTTTTAGGCCCAGAGCTTGGAGCCAGATGAGTCCCAGGACTGTGGCCAGGAAGGGAAGGTGTAACCAGAGATCTCAGACACCCCCAGGACAAAGGAGAGAGTAATAGAGGAGATGGGGCAGAGCAGCTGGCCAGGCAGGAGCAATATGAAGGAGCCTTAAGTTTCCAGACCTGGGAGGTCTTTCCATGTGAGAACCCCGGACGGATGGGTGTTGGTGGCTCACATCTGTAATCCTAGATACTCAGGAGGCTAAGATTGAAGGACTCCAGTTTGAAGCCAGCCTAGGCAGGAAAATCAGTAAGACTCTTCAATAAACTACCAAAAAAAAAGCTGGAAGTGGAGGTGTGTCTCAAGTTGTAGAGTACTAGCTTTGAGCAAAAAGCTCAGGGACAGCGCCCAGGCCCTCAATTCAAGCCCCAGACAGGCAAAAAATGAATAAATAAAGCTGGGCACTGGTAGCTCACACCTGTAATCCTAGCTACAAAGGAGGCTGAGATATGAGGACTGAAGTTCAAAGCCACTCCCTGTGCAAGGAAGTCTATGAGACTTTATCTCCAATGAGCCACCAGAAAACCAGAAGTGGAACTGTGGCTCAAAGTGGTAGAGTACTAACTTTGAGCAAAAGAGCTCAGGGACTGAGCCCAAACGCTGAGTTCAAGCCCCAGAACCAACCTCCCCACCCCCCCCCCAAAAAAAAGCCACTGAGTTCAAAGAGGTCTGAGCATGGAAGGTCCTGGTGGCAGCTACAAAGCTGAGGGGATGGAGGTGAGATGCTTAAGGAGGCTCAGCATATTTCTACCACATTGGAATTCCGACTGAGTAGAGATTCCCAGGGCCACCTAAACCAGTCTTCCTCCCACGTCAAAGAATGGGAAGGCAGCAGACAAATGCCAGGTAATCCAAAACATCTGGCCAGGACAGCCATGTTTCCTGACTGTAGATCAGCTGATGAAAGTAAAGCCCAGACCTGAAAACCTTTACCAGAGCCCAGCAGAGCTACCCCATTTTTAAAAATTGTAATACCTCACCCCAAGTGCTATGATGACCCCCCCCCCAAAGTCATTGATGTGGTCCAGGTCATTGGCACCATCTGGACATTGACTGTCTCCTTTCCTTTCCCTTACCTTTCCTTTCTTTTTTCCTTCTCTTTCTTTCTCACCCCTTCCCATTGTCCCTGTTCCACCTTGGCTCCCATCCCTTCACCTTCCGCTCCAGATCCGAGTGGTGAAAGCATTCCGTAGCTCGCTCTATGAAGGTCTGGAAAAACCGGAATCTAAGAGCTCCATCCATAACTTCATGGCAACGCCCGAGTTTCTGATCAATGACTACACCCACAACATCCCGCTCATAGATGACACGGATGTGGATGAGAACGAGGAGCGCCTCCGGGCCCCACCCCCACCACCCCCCAACCAGAACAACAATGCCATAGACAGCGGCATCTACCTGACCACGCATGTCACCAAGTCAGCTACCTCTTCGGCATTCTCTTCCAGACCCGGGAGCCCACTCCACAGCATGGAGACGTCCCTCTAACCAGAACTTCTCTGTACATGCACACATGCACACTTGGACTCACGCGCAATCACACACCCACACGCACGCACACATGCACACGGCACAGAGGGGGATCTGCACACCTGCCAAAGAGGGAAACAACAGAGACAACTGAGGGCTTTTCTTGTGCTGTCTTTGCAGGAAGCCAAATCCATTCGATAAAGGTGCGGCCCTCTGGGCTTCTCATCTAGGACCCAGGAGCAGAAGCAGGGGGAGGAGGAAGAGGAGGAAGAAGAGGATAAGAGGGAGGAGGGGAAGGTAGAAGAGAGGAAGAATGGCACTCCCTACCTTTTTTTCTACTGATGCTTCGTTCTTAACAAATAATTCTACCATATGTCCACCATCCAGGCTGTGCATTGGGGTCAGCGCTGGTTAGGGTTTATTGAAAGCTTTGTTGCAACCACTAGAGAGTAATCAGATCAACAAACACATACCAAAAAATGGAACTGCACTGTGGAGCAAGGGAAGATGCCATTGCCCAGACAGCCACCAGAGGGAGCCACCTGCAAATGTAGCTTCAAGCAATTCTCCCTGACCACAGTAGTAGACCCTTCCCTATGCAGTGTGCATGTGTGTGTGGGTCTGTATGGATGTGCATCTGTGTGCACATACATATATGTGACGAGATGCTTATTTAAAGGATAAGGATCTCTTTATTGGCATGATATTTCCATTTTAGGCGTTCTCATTTTGAATTTCCAGTATTGAATGTAGCAAGGTTTTGGTTTTGGTTTCTTCCCCCCCACCCCACAGGAAATTAGACTGCACTTCTTCTCAGTTGATATCTATTCCTCCCTAAGTCCCTGGCCCAGTGTTCTCCTGTGTGGTCCTACTGAGATTCCGGAGGAGGAGGACTGGGGAGGGATGCTGGAGGCCTGGAGGCCTTACAATTGGAACACTTGCACTTTGAGACCCCTGCCTTTAGAAGGGGAGGAGAGCCTTTCAATGGAATCTTGTATCACAAAGGAAAATACCAAAGTATTGAGAGAATTGTTCCCTCCAGTCAGTGGCAAGGGAAGTTTGGCGTTTGGCTTCCTTTGTTTCCAATTGCAATTCTAACTTCTTCCTTGTAGCTGGTGGCTTTGTCTGTACCCCAACTTTGAGAGCATGAAGCATGTGTGCAAGGTGTGGGTATTGCTGTAGTCCCTGCCCCGTCTGACCCCAGTGGGTTGGACCCACAATCCTGGAAGCAGCCCCAGTAGAACAGAGACAGATGGGCTCCCAATGCAGGCCTGAGTCCCACAGTGACTACCTGAAGGAGGGGGTGACCAAACCCAAGGAGCTGATGGGAATTGCTGTCTAACCTCCTCGCCCTCAGCACGTCTGCATCCCACTTTGTGTTTTGGAAAATGCCAGAAAGTGCTCGCTGGACCACTTCAGCCATAACATAGGCAGTGCCACCCACCAAAGCATGCTTCCAGCCCCAGGCTTCTGGTCCAGAGGACAGATGTGACCCACAAAGGCCGTGCTGGGGAAGCAGAGCCTCTTGGATTTTACTACCATCCCTGTCCTCATTGCTCTCATCATACTGCTAGCTCTTCTGGTCCTGTTGTGGCTGACAACAGGGCTGGCAGGCCTTGGATCCTCCCAGACATTCAGTGGGTCAAGCCTCAGTTTCGCCTGAATCGGTGATAACCTGAGAGGGGAATGCCAGGGAGAGAGAGGGTCCAAAATTTGGTACCCTGTCAGGAAAGCTCAGACAGATGGGCCTCTTCCCAATGGAAGGCCAACCCTCCTAATTCTCAGCACATGCCCAGACCCTCAGTGTGGATGCCCATCTGGTGACACCAGCGAAATGGGCAGCACTTTGCCAACAAGGTTCCTTTACCTTCTGAAAACTCTGGGTATCACTTTACAGAGGTGACCAGGGCCTCCCCACAGCTCCCATACCCCCTGTTGCTGGGGCCTGGGCTCGGCCACCCGGAGACAGGTGGAGCTGATGGACGTAAGACGAGGATGCAGCAGATGTGGACTGGCACCTTCCAGAGGGTCACCTGCACCATCCCCGTGGAAAGTTTGTCGCACCTGCTGGCACCCACACAAAGCCAAACGGGAACATGCTGTGTTCCCACTGCTAACATCAATGCTATGTCACCCCTAAGAAGGAGTAGTCAAAGCTCGGGCAAAAGAATTTCGGTCAGAAGAGAAAAAAAAAAAATCCATTCGAAAATGCCAGCTACAGATAACTTAAAGCCATCCCTTTTTCTAAAGGGCACATTGAGAATGTTACCCATTTGTAAATTGTTCCCTGATGTCCTTGTTTCAACCACAATAACAAAAGGGCAACTCACTATGTTGAGGGTCTTTGTGTTCTTCCACAAGAAGTAAAATTCAAAGTGTTTCAGCTGCGGATGATATGGCTGTGCTAATGGGCTTCTCGTCACCCTGTTGTAGACACATCAATAGAGCCAATGAGCACTAGACATTCAAAAGCAAACCGTCACTGCTGCTGTGTAAACTTGTCTGATGTCCATGTTGAGTGTGTAGTCCGGAGGCTGCCTTTGTGCTGGGCTGTGGGGTTCAGAGTGGGCACCGTGAACTCGCATCTTCCGCTCCGGTTCTTGTATACTTTTCAGGCCGAGGGAGGCCTGTGTCATTGGGAAGCTGCTCTTTATACAGCATTATATTATACGGAATGGCTTGGTCAACTGTGTTCAGTTCATAAATATGTTTTACATTTTTATCTGCCTGTTATAAAGATGAACAAAAAAATATCTTAATGAGAAAGACTGCAGATGCATAATAAAGTCTATAGTTGAATTTCCTAATTGAAAGAATAGACCAAAACTTCTGTGTATTAAAAAAATGAAAGGCTCTTACAATCCTGGTCTGGGTAATCCGTGTGATTTATTTAATAAGTTCCCATTCAGAACCAAACACGTGACTTTCCGGTACACGGCCTCTTCCTGAGGGCCGCTGCCCTGCTGGGTTCTTATGCCAATGAAAAGCAGCGGGCCCACCTGTGAGGCGAGGGGTGCATAGCTTTTGGGAGATTCTGACTGGCTTGACCAGAAAGCACCTACAGTGAATGTCTTGGCCGTATGTATCCTCACATGGGGGGCAAGTTGTGAACTCAACGTACTTGCAGACTCTCCCTTGTTTTGTATGTGTACTGGAGTTTGAACTAAGGGCCTGGACGCTGTCCCTTAGCTTTTTTGCACAAGGCTGGTTCTCTACCACTTGAGCCACAGCTCCACTTCAGGTTTTTGCTGGTTAACTGGACATGAGTCTCATGGACTTTCCTGCCCCGGCTGGCTTGAAACTGTGATCCTCAGATCTCAACCTCTAGCTGTGTTTAACTTTTTGAGAACCTACTAGATTGCTTTTCCTCAGCAGCTGTACCTTGTGACATGCGTACAAGGTTCTAATCCCACACTTCCTCTTTACCTTCAAGCCACAGGAAGAAAGTCCATTACTTCACTCACTCATTCACTCCAAGTCTCTTTCTTGTATTCCCAGATAGGTTCAGGTGGCCATCTGTGCTCCACAGCACCCTCTTTAGGCCAGTAAGAGCCAAGCAGATAGTTCTATGAGCCAGACTTGTAAATAGAGGCTGAAGAAGCAGCAGCAGCACTAAGACTTCCCTTGCCTCATTTCATGGTATTTCTATTTCTCTGCTCAGTGCATTGTCCTTCTAGACATGCCAGAACCACAGAACACATTTTCCATGGCAGTAACCAAGAATGGAGAAAAATGACTTCAGAGCTCCCTCCAGACACGTTTATGTTTCTACAACAAGCCAAAAAACACAAAGCAGAGAATCTTGCTTTCTTGTTTTAAGAGTCTATCTTGAACCATAAGGTTAAGTAAGTCTTGACTGGCCAATTTCCATATTAAGACAGCTGGGGTCATGTAGAAAGATGTTATTTTCTCTACAAAACATCATGAATTGTGTCTGTGACTCCCCCCCACTCCCCCCCCCCCCGCCCTGCAAACTTCTGCTATTGAATACAACAAAGTTCCCATGGGGGAAAGTCTGTGCCTAGCCACATGGCTTGGAGCAAGAAAGTACCACAGCAGTGGAATCCTGGGAGTGTAGGGAAGCCTATGTCAGCACCCAAGGACAAGCTGTAACAGACTTGCCCAAACTGGACAGGATAAAATAACAAAAATTGATCCTCTCACAAGATCTGGTAGTCTGGCGTCCAAAATCAAGGCGTTGGCAGATCTAAGCTTCCTCTGAGGAACTTCCAGAAGAATCACTCCCAGACCTTTTCCTTAGCTTCTGCCATTTTGGCTGGCAGATATATCACCCCAATTTCTGCTGCTTCTTTCATGTGGCCTTGTCCTCAACATGTATCTATTTTTGGATTAGGGTGAAACTAATGACCTCTTCATAAGTTGATGACATGTCCAAAGACCCTATTTCCAAATCTGAGCTATTTTTAGGTTCGGGGGACAGGACATGGGCAGCTCCAGGGGAGATGACACACAAGTCAATGCATCACAACCAAAAAGAAAGTTGTTCGAGTTTGTCTCTGAATCTAGTTGCCCTAGAAGCAGAAGACTTAGCCATTTCCCACTTCACAGTAATTAAGATATGTCCTACACTAAAAGTTAGAAGCTTCATTCAGGCTCTAGAATATCTTATCTCATGGTCTCTTTGCTGACCTTTTTATGCCTAAATGTTGAACAAAATCTTTCATAAGAAGAAAAGTGAAAACAGGAAAAACCTCATTCTATAACAATTTAACTCCTTACAATTAGACCTTAATTGTATGATGCAAAGCAAGACTTCATCCACACTGTCTCTCTAGCCCTGACACACACATCAAAAAAGGACATACAGTCTGAGGTGACAGGCACAGAGGCCCGCACACAAATAACACTGAACAAAGTTAGCGAGTGTCCTGGGCAGTGTGACAGGCACATAGCACACGGAATGATTTCAAAGTAGCAACCACCAAGTGGAAACCGCGTCTCATGATAAAAAAGAAACTTACCTGCTACTTGTTCATCAGGAGAGGAAACAAATGTTGAGTCTTGTAGGATTGGGCACTCCAGGATGGGGGCCACACTCCAACACTCCACTGGGAGAGGTCTGTGACTCTCCTGTGGAGCACCAATTAATGAGCCCCCTTCTTACTGCTATTCCCTGAGAGGCGCAGGTAAGAGCGGGGGGGGGGGGGGGGGGAGGGTTGTACATGAAACAGAAGTTTCTGGAAAGGAGGGCTATGCTTTCTTAAGAGCTGAGAATATCATTCTTATGGCTCAAACTTTTTTTTTCTTTTTTTGCTGAAGGCTAGTGTTCTACCACTTGAGCCTCAGCTCCATTTCCAGCTTTTTTGCTGGTTCATTGGTGGTAAACGTTTCACAGACATTCCTGTCTTGTGCTAACTTTGGACTGTGCTCCACAGACCTCAGCTCTTGTGTAGATAGGATTACAGGCCTGAGCCACCAGCTCCCAGTCCAAATGAACTCTTACTATGTCTATGGACACAGCATTGGGAACACAGGCTATGCATAATCCAGGATCATCTCTTGTCTAAGCCTAAAGAATTAAAGGGAGTAAGCTGTGGCTCAAGTGGTAGAGCACTGGCCTTGAGCACAAAAGCTCAGGAAGAACACATAGGCCCTGAGTTCAAGCCCCATGACCGGCACAAAATATATAACATATATATTATAAATATACATATATACATATGTATAATTAAGAAGGAAAAGTAAAGTGTGAGCCCTGGAGAGCAGGTGGCAAAGGAAGTAGCATGCAGAACACCATATCCTTGAGCTGACGAGGGGTGGGGTGAGGATTCCACATCACAGGCTGCTATCCATGGCCATAGCAAGGATGCAGGATGGCAGACAGAGGCAGCTTGGGTCACAGTGTACTCTCCCCTCCCCAGTCCTGGCTCACCTGGAAGAGCTGCTTGTTCTCCCCCAGGCAGCCAGTGCTGTGTCTGTGCGTTGGTGGCAGAATGGAGGCACAGAGTCCACAGAGGCCTAATGTGAGGCATCACCCTGAGGATACTCACACAAGTTAGAGGGCTCATCCTTTCAGACGTGCCTCTGTGCCTCTCAGCAATAGATATGGTTAAGAAAGGAACTGCCTTTGCATACAGAAGTATCTCTGACCAGCCCATATGGTGAACAACTGCACTGCGTCCCAAGCCACTCTGGAAAGCTATGAAGAGAAGCAAAGTGACTGAGTGTCCCAGAGGATCTCAGAGGACATTATGTTCTCAGTAGAAAATGGAATCCTGTGGGGCACCAGTGGCTCATACCTGTAATGCTAGCTACTCAGGAGGCTTGAGATCTGAGGACCTCGGTTCAAAGTCAGCCTGGGCAGAAAAGTCTATGAGACTCAAGAATCTCCAATAAACTACCAAAAAGCCAGAAATGGAGCTGATGCTCAAGTTGTGGAGCAATAGCCTCAAGGACAAAATGTCAAAGACAATGCCCAGGCCCTGAGTTCAAGCCCTAGGACTGGTATACACCACAAAAAGAAGTTTGCCACCAAAGCCCACAAAATAGTTCTGCAAAACAGAGGGAGGCCAGGCCAGGAAAGCTTGCTATGAGTATGGGGAGGACTGTGATATTTTCTTAGCTTCATCACCCAAGAGACAGATAACACAGTCAGTTTGTAAGGTCAAGTAAGCATTTGTACTGACCTGTCATCAGTATGGGACAACTGCCTCTGTCCCATGACAAGTGACAAATGACACCCATGTAATATGAATCTCTTGCCCAAAGTCCCATTGTCAACAGAAAGCATTGGCCCAACCCACTGTCCTGTGGTCACAACCGCCCAAATGTGGGAAAGTAGCCACCATTACCTGAAGGTACCATCAAGTCCATGGAGGCCCAGGGAGCCCATAACAGGCTGTTGTGTGCATGCACACGCACACACACGCGCACGCATACACAGAGTCTTTCTGCAAGGGTGTGGGTAGGGGAAAGTCAGAGCTGTCACAGTTTGGCATCTCTGGACATCCTATATGGAATTGTATTGACATAATAACTGTGCCTTAGAGCCGGGTACCAGTGTCTCATGCCAATAATCCTAGCTAGTCAGGAGGTTGAGATCTGAGGATTGTGGTTCAAAGCCAGACTAGGCAGAAGTCTGTGAAACTCATCTTCAATTAACCACAAAAAGCAGGAAGTGGAACTTTAGTTCAAAGTGGTAGAGTACTAGCCTTGAGCACAAAAAAAAAAAAAAGCTCAGGAACAGTACCTAGAACCTGAGTTCAAGCCCCAGGACTGGAGGAGGGAGAACCTCTGCCTTTGGACTTTGTGCTACACTGTGACCAAATTCCAGTGATGCTCTGAGCTGTCCCCATGGCCAGACTCACAGTCCCAAGCAGGCCAGCACCCCTGCCCTGTGGTTCCAGGACCCCCACTTAGCACAGAAAGTTGGAAGCGAAGAATATCCCAGAGCACAAGGGGCACCCTCCAAGGGCAGCACGGACTGCAAAGCAAAGATAAGGGGACGTCTCTGTGAATTTGCATCATTTTTATTACACAAAATAAAATTCCATCTATCTTGCACATTCATACTTCCTATAAATCTGGCTTTTAAAAAAAGCCCAAGGAGTGCAGTCCCTTCTGTTCTTTGACTTTCCTGCCAGTGACTCCCCACCTCCGTCGCAGTCAGAGTCATGTCAAAGGGAAAGGACAGATGCGGTCACATCAGGACAGTCACATGACCTGACCCCTCAGCCTGCCCGCTGGAGGCGCGGTCTTGCCATCCTCTGGACCCAGGCTGCTGGGGACAGTCAAGGGCGCAGCATGTCATCACCTTCACCAGCCCGTCTCCAGCAGTGTAACCAGTCACCCAGGACTGGCCGTCACAGCAACATAGCGGCACCATCCCCAGGCAGCCGACCATCCTGGCTTCTCTTTGGGCAGGCCTGGGCCAGGGCTAGGGGATCCCTGTGTCCATGGAATAAATCTGAATGAGATCAGACACAATATTATCAATGATTGGCTTGGTAAGGTCGTCACTAAGCACCTAGAAAGGAGAAGGAAAAGAAGTTCCAATTAGTCTCTCTCTGTGTGTTAAATGAAGTACCCACTACAAGCACAGGATGGCACTTTCTGGGGAGGGTAGGAGCCTCAGGGATTTGTGTATCCCGAGGATGGTGGCTCTCCTGCCAAATCAGCTCAGACTACTGAGGCTGATCAAAGACTTTCAAAGCAGAGAACATTCTAGATGGAAAAGGCTTTGTAAATCACTTGCATTACACAGGATAGGGAACTTGGCCAAAGTTACACAGGGAGTTGGAAATAGATCTGTGCCCAAAGCACAGGTTCTTGACTCCAATGTGGGGCTGCCTAGAGGAGAGGGTGGGAGACTGGCTATGTTGTTTCCCAGAAACTGTCTGATTCTATAACCTGGACCCCACTCCCATCTAGCCTGGCTGGAGCAAGCCCTAAAACAGACATCCAGAGCCAATGTACAGATACACTTGAGGCTGAGACCGATCCCTGAGGGCCCAAATCAAGAGTAATGTGCAATGCAGGGCCAACTCACAGGCCTTAAGACCACAACCTCCACCCCCCCACTCCCCAAGGCAGATGTGGGTCTATGCCTGGTTCCCAGAAAATCCTCCAGTCAAATCCTGTCTGAGGAGAGTGTCATGGTCATGTTTACCTGGGGCCTGGAGCCCTGCCAGGTACTCTGTACTGGTGTTTTGATACAAGTGGGGGCCTTGGAGCACATGGTATCCCAGGGTGAACTTCCAGACTGACAGTGCTGTGCGTGCTGCCCCACACCACTGACGGCACAAACACCACTTCCTGGGAGGCACCAGAAGCTCACGCGTGGCCTCTCCTCACCTCTGCCCTAAGGAGCTGGTAGATTGGCTGATCTTAACCTGCATCCTTTCACTGTCATGAACTGTATGGCAATCCTCTGTGGGTGAGTCTCCCTAAAGAAGGAAGCCCGAGGGTACTCTGGGGGACCTCCCACCCCCAACAACAAGCCCCAAGTAGATGCCATAGTCATGCTACTCCAGGAAGGTTGCTGCCTAGAGAAACAAAGTAGTGAAGAGGTCAAGGTCTTGAGCTAAACAAAAGACAAGAACTAGACCAAGTCCATCTTTTCTAAGCCCCCTATAAAAATAGACCCCCCACAATAGCCTACATCCTCAGATGGCAGACAGTGACATGAAAAGCCTTCATTCCTATCTCAGCAAGCATAGCTCTACCTCCCTGGGTTCTGGGTGGGTTCTGTATTCAAAACTCCAGGCTTGTCAACATGACCATTAAAAACTGGGTACATATGCCCATCCACAAATGGACTATCATTCTAGCTTTAATAGGAAGAGGATGGCATTACAGGCTGCAGTGCAGTGACCTGTGAGGTTACAATGCTCAGTGAAATAAGCCAGGTGTAAAAGGACAAATGCTGCATGATTTCGCTTCTAGATGGTGCCTAGAAGAATCAGAGCCTCACACAGTATATGGGGGGTGCATGCCAGGCACTGGGGAGGAGGGAGTGTTTAATGTGGGCAGGGTTTCAGTTTTGCATCTAAGAGTTCTGGAGAAGATGATGGTGATGATTGCACAGAAATGTCCGTGTGTTTAATGCCACTTAAAAATGGTGATCTATCACAGCTTAAGAAAAATAGTTCAGGGTAGGTGACAATGGTGGGGCATGTGTCAAAAAGACACATCCTAAAGACCTGAAACAACACTACTAGCCTCTTGGACCAAGAGGGACCTGGTGACTTGATTCCACTAGTCTTAGAATTTCAACTTCCCACTCAGATGTTATGTTTGGCCATACAACAAAGAGCTAAAGTGGCTAGAAATGAGCAAGTCTCCCTAATTTCAGGCAAAGGGCACGGGGGGAGGGGGGAGGGGGGGGGCGCGGCCCCAGGTGCAGATCTGGGGATGGAAGTTTCGACAAGGCCATGTGACCTGCACTGTTACCATCCCCCAGTGTCTTGTGTCACACCTCCAGAGGCTGGCCAACCCTCGGCGCGCGCGTGTGTGTGTGTGTGCGCGCGCGCGCTAGGTGACAAGTAACACCTGAGGTTAGCTACAGCAAGAAGTAGCAGTGGAGAGGACATGAGGAGAAAAGTGCTTCAAATAACACCTGAGCTTTCCTATGTCTGTGCACAAATAGCTCACTTCAAGAAAACTGGCCCTTGCACCTCTCCTGCCCAAAGGGACACTGGCATTCTGGAAACTTCCAGTTCCTGCACCCTGATCTATCTAGAAAAGTGAAATCAAGTCTGGCAGGCCTTTAAAAAATCTGGGTGAGCTTATGCCTATAATCCTAGCTACTCAGAAAGCTGAGCTCTGACAACTGTAGTTCCAAGCCAGCCCAGTCAGGAAAGGCTATAAGACTCTAATCTGCAGTTAACTACCAAAAAGCCAGAAGTAGAGCTGTGGCTCAAGTGGTAGAGCACTAGTCTTGAGCAAATGAGCTCTGGGACAGTGCCTAGGCCCTGAGTTCAAGCCCCAGGACAGGCACCAAAAAAAAAAGAGCTGGGTAAACATATATCTTCCACTCAAAATGGCAACTTCTTCCCAAGCTGAGTAAAAACTGGGCCACCAGGTTTATGGCAGGGCCATTCCCAGCTATACTGGGCCAGTACAGCTAGAGCTCTTCTTGGAAGGGCTGTATATGGGGCACAGAGACAGTGCTCGTGCTTCAGATGAAGTTCTAGCTAGTGAAGGAAGAATAGAAGGAAAGTGAAATGGAGAGGCAGCACAAGGAAAAACAAGGGATATTACAGCTGAGTGACAGAGCCACCGTGACCACCAGATGTCCTCAGAGGGCAGAGCCAGCAAGTGACAGCCTCTCTGGCACTTCATTCCAACCAAACAACACCACTGAATCCTGTTATCAGTCTCTGAGAAAAGTGAGCATGGAACACACACAGATGCTCTTACCCCCACCACAGGACCTTACAGGTGCTCCTGGCCTCAGACTGAGACCCCAAACACCAATTATGAGCTAGACCTAGACAGGAATGGATAGATAAGAAACCAGAGGTCCGGGGTTGGGAAGGTGGCTCAGTGGTAGAGCGCTTGTCTTGCATGCATTGGCCCTGGGTTCGATTCCTCAGCACCCACATAAGCAGAAAAAGCCGGAAGTGGTGCTGTGGCTCAAGTGGTAGAGCGCTAGCCTTGAGCTGAAGAGCTGAGGGACAGCGCCCAGGCCCAGAGTTCAGGCCCCCATGACCAACAAAAAACAAAAAACCCAGAGGTCCGGGCAGTGTGTTAGGAAGACATACCTTTCTGCAGTGGCACCTATGTCACCTGCAGAGCTCTCCCAATGGCTAGATTTCAACACACTGTCTACCAACAACACTTGACTCAACAGGTCTGATTGAAATAGAGAACTCAATCATCTATCCGTCAATCTAGCTAGCTAGTTACCTACTTACCATCTACTTTATCCATCTACCTTCCTAAATAGCAGCTACTAAATAGCATGCATGCATGCACCCATCATCTACTTACCAGTATCCGCCTATCCATCTCTCTGTGTAACCAATTACCTCCCTCCCTCTTGTCTACCCATCTATCTTTGCCAAGAAACACCCCCTGCTTCTGAGAGTAAGCCAAATTTATTAACCTCTTGATCTATGTAAGTTCCTCTCAATCCAGTATTTGAATGTGCTGACTTAGCTCAGAGGTTCTCGACTGGGACAATCTCTGCTCCAGAAGATTTTGAGTGCCTGGGTGGAGGCCAGGGCTGTTGATCAATACCTAAGAGCCCTTATTGCAAAGAATGACCAGGCTCCAAATGCCAAAGCAAAAGGGGGTGAGCCCTAACCATGAACTATTACAAAAAATTTACTTTTTTTCAGTATTGGGGTTTGAATTCAGAACCTTGCACTTGCTAGGCAGGTGCTCTACCACCTGAGCCAGCCCTTTGTCACTTTAGTTACTTTTCAGGTAGGGTGTCACATTTTTGCTAGGAACTGGCCTCAGACTACTATCCTCATGCCTACTGACCTTGGGCCTCTCTTGTGCTGAGATCACACAGCTTGTTTGTTGAAATGGGATCTCGTGAACTTTTTGCCCAGACTTGTCTCAAATCACAATCCTCCCAATCTCTATCTCCTGATAGCTGGGATCACGAGGCTGAATTGCCACACCTAGCATAACAGATATTTTCTAGTGACCAACAGCTTTGTTCATGGTTGATTAATAAAGACAAACTAAGCCAGGTGCTGGTGGCTCATGTCTACAAACCTAGCTACCCAGAAGGCTGAGGTCTGAGGGTTGTGCTTCAAAGCCAGCCTGGGCAGAAAAGTCCCCGTGAGACTCTGATCTCCAATTACCCATCAGAAAACTGGAAGTGGTGCTGTGCCCCAAAGTGGTAGAACACTAGCCCTTAAGTAAAAAAGTTCAGGGACAGAACCCCAGCCCTGAGTTCAATCACCATGACCGACAAAAAAAAAGAAAGAAAGAAAAAAAGAAACCAGTGAGCAGCGAGTTGGAAGGATTTCTAAAGGGAAAGGACAGTTCAGTGTATTGAGAAGTCACCTCACCTGCCACCATGGCTTTTCACTCTCGGACTCAGCAGGCACCTCAACTCCATAGATATGTAGAGCCAGGTACAGCACTGCCACAGCTAGGTGCTGAGCCTGGAATCGGAGGCACAGCCCTCCATGGTAGCTATCCCGCAGCAGCGCCCAGGCTGTGACAGAGATGGGAGTCCGCTGCCAGGTGTAACGATTCAGCCAGTTCTTCAGGGAAATCAGGTAGTGAAGCAGGTACTGCAAAGACATGCGCATCAGTGGCTCTGCCTAGGGCTCCGCCCCCCTCAAGCCACTCTCCCCAAACCATTACCATCATGCCGCCACCCTGTTCAAGCCCTCCAATGGCACCCATGTCATTGAGGAAAAAGCCCCAAAGCCATCTGCCAGCTGCCAAACCCTGCCATCCTCTCTGCCCTTATCTCCTAGTGCCTTTACCACATCTGCCCGCCATGTCACTGTATCGAGCACACTACTTCAGGGCCTTTGCACTTGGCATTCTGCTGAAATCAATCCCTACACGCCTGCCCACTGTTGGCCTCCATACTCAGGCCAGGAAACCTGTTCAGGCCATTCTTAACAGCCTCCACATCATAATCCTCCTCAATCCCAGGGCTCTGCTTAGGCCAGCATGTGAAACCACCTGAGGCCCAGAGCTGCAGCCAATAGCACCCTATCTGCAGAACAGAGAGCATAACACTGCTGTACCTGGCCTGCCCTGGGCACACTGCTTTCAGGAAGGCCACAGACTAGTGTTTATGTTTGTCGAGTCTGAGCCAAGGACCTAAAGTAGTACTGGCCTTCTATACATCTCCACAATCTCTGAGCCGGGAGGTACTGACCTCTTAGAAGACAGACACTTGGGCCAGGAATAGTGGTTCACATCTGTAGTCCCAGCTACTCAGGAAGCAGAGATCAGAGAGGAATGCAGTTTGAGGTCAGCTCAGGCAAAAAGTTAGGGAAACCCCATCTCAATCAATAAGCCAAGCATGGAGACACACATACACATGTAATACCAACTATATAGGAGGCATAAGTAGGAGGATCACAGTCTAATCTGGCCCTGAGCAAAAAACATGAGGCCTTATATGAAAAATAACAAAAGAAGAAAAGACTGGAGGTATACCCCAAGTGGCAAAGTGCCAACTGTGTGCAAGAAGGCTGCATGAAGCTGAGCGCAGGTGGCTCATGACTGTAATACTAGCTACTCAGGAGGCTAAGATCTGAAGATCCTGGTTCGAAGCCAACCCAGGCAGAGAAGTCTGTGAGACTCTCATCTCCAATAAATCACCAAAAGGCCACAAGTGGAGCTGTGACTCAAGTGGTAGAGTGCTAGCCTAGAGCAAAAGAGCTCAAGGACAGCGCCCAGGCCCTGACTTCAAGCCCCAGGACTAGCACCGAAAAAAAAGAAAGAAAAGAAAAAGAAAGCTGCATGAAAGGGCCATGAGTTAAAAGTCCTAGTTCTGACACAAAAAGGAAATCTTTAGGAGGAAAGAGAGTGTGACAGAGGGAGTAAGATGTATTAGAATACATTATAAACATGGGTGGAAATGTAGTAATGAAATCACCCCTGTGTAACTAACATGAGCTAATTTTAAAAAGCATATTATTTTTAAAAGGGGAGGGAGACAAGACACTTGGCCTGAACTTTACACCATGTATAGACACTTGGACAATCTCCAACAGGTCAAAAAGCCACAGTGGCAGGTATTATGGCTGCATGTGACCCAGCCACACCTTAAAGGGACAACTCATGGTATCTAGACTGTCACCTTGCTAGAGGGAGGGAGGGGGCTGCAGGTTCCAGTAAGGCCCACGATCCACTCTGATCCAGGACCAGATCAAAAAGCCTCCAAGGCCAGAACGCTGCTCCTTTCTAAGCCTTGTCGCCTTGACAACCCCACTCTCCAGCTGCCAGCACAGCTCCCACTTCCTCCTGGGATGCTGATCAGGCATTCTTCTGACTAAAAATTACTGTGTGAGAATCCAAGAACAGAGATTTCTGCGCTAGGGAGGGATGTGGAGGGGTCAGGGAGAGACGCTTGAACAGATGGAGTTGTTTTTGCACCTGGACTATGGTGGTGGACATGTGAATGTAAGAAGTGATAAAACTGTATGGAATTAAATACCCAGGAAACCAGTGCAATGTATCTGTATCAACATCCTGTGCTATAGTCCAGCAAAGTGTTCCTGCTGGCAGTGGCTGGGCAAAAGACACACGGCCTCACTGTGGATTATTCCTGCTTGTGAATCTCCAATTGCCTCAATAAAAATACCATTTAGCTGAATATGGTGGTACATGTCTATACTTCCAGCACTTGGGAGAATGAGGAAGGATGATTATGAGTTCAAGGCTAGCCTGGGACACTAAGGAAGTTCCAGGCCAGTCTAGGCTACATAGAAAATGATGCTGTCTCAAAAAAACAAACACAAAAACAAAAACCTCCACTGAAAAGGAAAAGGAACAGAATCGTAGCGCAGAGCCCCAAGATCAGCTCCTTACTCTCTGCAAGCAATGCTTCCAGATGCCTGCACATAAACCTGTGTTCCTCCAGCGGCACACTCAAGTGTTCCTGACTGGGCCTGCCGCTGGGCTGCTATTTGAAATGATGTTCTACCCCAAGCAATGGGGCAACAACAATGAGCCAAGCCCTTAAGGCACAGTATGTCCATGTGCAAATCAGTATCTCGCAGTAGATTGATGTATCATTTTATGTTTTTATAAAATAATTCTTCATCTACATGGCTAGAGGGCACAATAGAAACTAGGTAGTGTTAGGAGAAAGAGCAGCTTGGCTTTTCTCATGAGTTTCTAAGCACAGCTAGGCAGGGTGAATTTTAGGTTACGGAACAAAGAATATGACTCCAGCCTCTGGAAACAGCTGCCGGCTCCCTAGCACACATGTACCTTGTGTGGATGCTGGAAGGAGACCTGGAAGCGCAGAACTCTCAATATAAGGAGTTCACATTGCACGATGCTGTCTCGGAGCGCCCAGAATCGTGAGTTCAGTTCCAAGGGCTTGCTGCCCGGGTTAAAATGCCTAGAGACATAATGGAAAGTGTGTCAGAAGAAAGAAGTTGGCTCATAGGTTTAAGCCGATGGGCCATCCACTGTTATTCAGCAAGATGCCAAGTACAAAGACTGACTGTGTTCAATGGCTCTGGAGAGCCCGGAAACATGAACACACCAAGCCAGCTGACTGACACACAGTATTAAGTCTTCACCACCTGCTATACAACACCTAAGGCTCTCTCTGGGCCGATGAAAAGTATATCAACATGGCTTGGGAACATATATTCAATTTTTAGTTTTGTCTTTCTTATTTGTCTGTCTTTCCTTCAAGATTTGTCCTTGTCTACACTCTATCCAACCACAACACTCCCAATAAAAAAGATCCTATAAAAGACCCCCAAGGTGAGTGTGAACAGGGTTCACACTCAAGTGCTCACAACTCTCTGCCATGACTCATCCTGGCTGCTCACTCGTTTTCCAAATTCCCCTCAGAACCCCCCAGCTTGTGCCCACATCTAATTAGGGCTCCACACAATTTCCCCTTCTGCTGCTCCTCCCTGCTGGGGGCCAGGCAATTACAGGTAGACTCCAGCTGCCCTCCCTCAGCTCTGTGCCTGTTTTTATCTTAGCCTCTCCCTGTATACTGTGAACTTGTCAGGCTTAAGGGGTGGGGAGTGTTTTTTCCATTACCTGTTTATTAAAAAAGGAGAACAAAGTATTCTTCCTAATGATTAGAGTTCCTGGAAAGGCCCATGACACACAGCTAGTTAGTAACTTTCCATAAATCTTATGACTGTCTCCTGGGTCCCAAGTTCTCAGCCCAGCCTCCCCAAGTGGCGAGGCTCTGCCTCTTTCCTCAGTAGGAACAGCTGTGCTGTCCACCACATACATTCTCCTAGGCAGTGGACACTGACTCAGTTTCTTGTATCACTTAAATACAACTGTTGCCTGGCTAGTGTCACATCCTCCCTGTGGTAGACACACAGGTCTGCGGGGCCTTACAACCCAACCAGGACAGGTTCTCTCCCATGCTCTTCAGCCTCTAGCCATCCCATTTCCTGTACTGCTTAGGGCTGCAGATGACGCTTGTTTGACATCATGCCTCTCCAAGCACGCTCTGCTCAAGCCCCACTTCCACCTTGGGCGGCCTCTAGGGCTTCCTGTACTAGAGTCAAGCTGCTTCCTACAGAAGCCCATGGGCACCTGACCTTAGGCTCCCTCCTCCCTCTGCAGCTGTGCTCTGGGGCCAGAATCAGGCCATGCAACCGCTTCTGGCCAAGCTTGGCTGCAGGTGTGTGGAGTGCAAGGAAACCTCCTCTGCAGCATATCCTCCTACATGCCAGAACACTGGTACCTGTTGGACACGTTGATGATGTCCCGAGTACGCAGGTGCTGCTCCTCCACTTTGCCAGCCAAGTAGATGGAAGATATGGCAACCAGGTAAGGGTCATAAGCATCCAAGTTGACCTCGCCAAAGAACTTATGGTAAATGGTGCATGCAGTGGCTATGGGAATGGACCGCATTCCTAGTTTGATACCTACAGAGAGAAGGTGAGCCAGAGAGTCCTCAAATGCTTTCTCACCCGTTGCTCCAGTGAGGGAAGCCACTAAAGGTACACACCCTCCACAAAGACCAAGAACTTTTCGTTCCCCACTGCCTACTGCTGGATCTCTGGCTGGGACTCCAGGCTTCTCAAACTCTAATGCACCAGCTAAGCCCTTGAGGATAGAGTTCAAAAACGAATGTTTCATTCAGGGGACATTTTTGAAAAGTCAGCCTCTAGGACCTGTCCATACTCTGACATGCAGAATACCTCCATGACCAAGAGTTCTGACTATTGCTCAGTTCCACGTCTGTGCAGAAGCTTGGAAAAGACCATACTCTGTTGGGCGTCTGTTTACAGCCAAGCAAGCACCTAACTAGAGGTCACTACCCCAATGCTCACAACTAAGATCCTATAGTGACTACAGGAGGCAAAAGGCCTCTGAGTGATCAAACAGATGCCATAAGTCCCAGTGTTTCAGTTAAAAATTACAGTCAGCCAGGTCCCAGTGGCTCAGGTCTGTAATTCCAGCTACTCAAAAGGTTGACATCTGTGGATCACGGCTCAAAGCCAGCCTGAGCACAGAAATCCAAGAAACTCTGGTGTGTTACAATGCTGGGACTTGAATTCAGGACTTGACCTCTGAGCCACAGCTTTTCTGCTCAAGATTGGTGCTCTACCACGTAAGCCACAGCTCCATTTCCAGCTTTGTGGTGATTAATTACAGATAAAGGTCTCACAGATTTCCTGCCCAGACTAGGTTCAAATCACAATCCTCAGATCTCAGCCTCCCTGATTAACTAGAACTAGAGACATGAGCCATTGGAGGCTGGCTTGAGGGACTCTTATCTGCAATAACCATCAAAATCTTGGAAGTGGAGATGTGGCCTAAGTGGTAAAACATTAGACTTGTGCAAAAAAGCAAAGTGAGGGCACGAGGCCCTGAATTCAAGCCCTAGTATGGGCACAAAAATTTATACTGAGCAATAGTTTCCTAGCATACAGATTAAGAGGAGACAGGTGAGTGAAACCACAGAGCCAAGAAAAAGCAGTATTTAAGGCCACAGCCAGGCGGGAGAGAAGGAGGTCAACATGCTGACAAGTGAGTGGAACACACAACTAGAGCATGATGGAGTGGATTTATTTAGGGGATAGAGCTCAGCCCCATCCCACTCACCCTTGGAAGTGCCCAAAGAAATCATTGTGGCGAAGTCACAGAACCCAAACCAATTCACAATGACCAGAGTTAGCAGGAGAAACTTAAATGGCATTTACTACTCTGTCAGAAGAAAGTGGAGAGAAACCAGTTATCACTCATTGAGACTGTCTGCAGCATCCTCGACCTAAGAAGGTGGCTCAGTGCCCTAGGGCTCTTCTGGAGGTCAGAAATTTAAGTGGGTCTTACAGGGGTAACTCAAGGTGTCACCAGGGCTTGTTTCAAACCTCTGGAGATTTCAGGAGAAAATCTGTTTCTTAGCTTTTTTTTAGCTTCCTCCACCCCTCTGTTCCTGACCTCTTATTCCATCTTCAAAACTACTGTCACAGCATCTTGTAACACTGCTTCCTTCAGAATTGAGCACTGGTGACTCATGCCTATAATCCTAAATACTGAGGAGGCTGAACTGAGGATCAGAATTCAAAGCCAGCCTCACCTGGAAAATGCATGAGACTTTTATTTCCAATTAAGCACCAAAAAGCTGGAAATGGAGCTTTGCCTCAAGTGGAAGAGTGCTAGCCTTGGGCAACAAAAAGCTCAGGGACAATGCCCCAGTACTGAGTTCCAGCTCCAGGACTGGCACAAATCATCATCATCATCATCATCATCATCATCATCACCATCACCTAAGGTAATCTCCCCATCTTTAGGTCCTTAATTATGTCTTCAAAATTCCCTATATAAGATGATAGTCACAGGTTCCAGGAGTTAGGACAAAGATATCCTCAAGGGACTACTGTGTCGATTCTACAAAGGGTGAGAGTAAATATCTCTTACAAAGAAGTCAATAGAGCTGGGCACAGTGACTCATGACTGTGGTCATGGTTATTCAGGAGGCAGAGATCGGAAGGCCTTGTAGTTCAAAGGCAGCCAAAGCAAAAACGTTCAAGAGTCCCTATCTCAATCAATAAAGCTGAGCACATGGGTGCACTTCCTATCCTAGTTATTTGGCAAGTGTAAACAGGAGGATTATGGTCCTGGCTATTAGGGCATCAACTGGAAATGTTATTACCAAAATAATAAGTAAACAGGGGTGGGAGCATCTCAAGGTCTAAGCATCAGTTGTTCAGATAATTTGTCCCAGAAGATACCATATAACGTGGTGTTGCTAACATGACCTAATAAGGAGATGTGTAGTAGCAGGTGGAGAACACTTTGCAACCATTGTAAACTAAATTTATGAATAGCTGGGTCCTGCACCGTCTACCATGAATGAACGCACACTCGCTCAAGCCAGTCTCTTCCAAAGTGTACACAAAGTGGTAAGGAAATAACTGCCACATTGAAAGGCATACTACTGACCGAGTGTCTCCACAGAAATCCCAGGGGCTTGTTGCCCCATGAGGAAGAAGGACGCCTAACAGTATTATGGTCGCCAGGCCAAGTTCAAAATTTTAGCTGCACCCTGGGGATCCTCGATTTGATGGGACCTTCCCAACAGCCTGCTGAAAAAGGCCTTGGGTGACCGAGTGCCAGTCTCTCAGTATGGCTGAAGGCTTGGTGGACCCACAGAGCTGCAGGCACCCTGACTGGGACCTCACTTATCTAGAAGCCTGGATCTTCCTACATCTTCTCGTTTCGCCTGAGAGTCCTGTGCAAAGGGAGTAGCGGCGTGTGCCCTGCGTGGAGGTAGGGTAGGATGGAGCCAGTTCGGAGCCAGGACGCCCAGTCTCCCTACGGCGGGTCACAGCAGAAAGCCTGTTCCCTCAGCCTGGCAGCGGCTGCTCCGCAACGCACGGGCTCGGCTCCGATGGTGTGGTGTGAGACCCGCGGCCTTCACGTCCCACCCGCGTGGGCGCTGCCATTTCTCTAGCAGCAGTTACCTGCCTCCATGATGAACTTCGTAACTTCGAAGTGTACCCTCGCCTTGGGCACCGGCAACCCCTCGGCCCCCAACACCTCGGCCCCTTTTTCGCAGGTGTCCGTGCTAGCAGCCTCCATGAGGCCCTGTCCCGTGACCCCACGAACCCCTATTCAAAGGAGTAACACCGCCGGCGCGCTAAGGCCCGAACCCGGGATCCCAGTGGCCTATACAAGCGTCCCGCTCCGGCAGGGCCGGCCCGCCCACCCCGGTAAGCGCGGCTGCGCACTAGCGGCTGGATGAGTGCGCAGGCGCGGGCGCAGGCGCAGAAACGGACGCTCCCTAGAGGCTTTGCGCACGCCCGCTGGTCTCCTAATGCCACTCACCCTAGGAGACATACGCCCCGCCTCCGGGAGATGCAGCCCAGCCCCAGACTCCACCTGCTCGCTCCCAGGAGCCGACGCCCCGCCCCTGAGAACCACAAGCCCTGCGGCCGCCGCCGCCTGGTCGCAAGGAGGTCTCAGGCTTGAGGACTGAAGCACGAAGGCACCTTCAGACACCTGAGCCGCAAATACTCACGGTCCTACTAACCTGTCGCCCTAGGACGGTGGCCCAGCGTGGCTTAGAAGAGGAGACTTGACAGCGTCTGACAAACCCTGGGCGAGGGCATTCCTGTTCGGCGTCAATATCTGAGCTGCCACTAATGGGAGATGTTAGTGTTCAGACATGGGTATGAAACCCAAAGTAACTGCTGTGCAAAATATAGCGATCCTTTCCTAATAGTGGCGTTAAAGATGTCTACAGCTCTATTTAAGAGCTGCCCCGTATCTACGGGAATGTTTTCTTGTTTCCCTTTCACGCCTAACATGCAAGTAGGAGTTTCATAAATGTCTGTTAAATGCATGTGGTACACTAGACTCATACCATCCCATATTTCATTTGTGTCTTGCACAAACAGGAATTTGTGTCTCGAGTGTTTGGGACATAGAACAGTTAAGGAACTCCTAAGCCAGGTACACTCACTCAGGTCATTCTGACACATTCAGACAATTGCTGATTGCAGACTGCTGGAAATGTGCACAAGCAAAATTCACCACTCCCAATGTCCTTCTGCTGTAACAAATGATCACATACCAATGGCAAAACAGCAGAAATGGAAGTGGCACTGTGGCTCAAGTGGTAGAACGCCAGCCTTGAGCTGAAGAGTTCAGGGACAGTGCCCAGGCCCAGAGTTCAAGCTCCACAACCAACCAAAAAGAAGAAGAAGAAGAAGAAAAACCCAGGCACCGGTGGGTCACACCTGTCATCCTAGCTACTTAGGAGGCTGAGATCTGAGGATCACAGTTCGAAGCAGCCCAGGCAGGAAACTCCATGAGACTCTTATGTCCAATAAACCACTCAGAAAACCAGAAGTGGCGGTGTGGCTCAAGTGGTAGAGCGCTAGCCTTGACCTGAAGAGCTCAGGGACAGTGCCCAGGCCCAGAGTTCAATTCCCATAACCAACAAAACAACAATAACAAAAAAAAAAAAGCTAGCAGAAATATATCCTCTCATAATTCTGGTGGCCAGAGATCTGAAATCAAAGTCTGTAAGGCTGTGCTTCCTCCAGCAGCTCTCCTAGAGGATTTTTCTTGCCTTTCCAGCTTCTTCTACCCTGAGTTGCTCCTGCGCTTCTAGCACCATCACTCCATCTCCACCTCTATCTTCACCTACCCCCCTTGTGTGCCCAGGAGGAAGACCTCTTGCGTGGGCCTGGTCTCAGATAGGTTACTTAGGTCCCTCCCTGCTGGCCCAGAGCACATAACAGCCTGAGCTCCCCACTGCTACCTGCTCCTTCACAGTATCACCAACCCCCAAGGCCCAAGCTCTGCCCCTCTGTCCTGAAAATCTCTCTTGCACACCCATGTCCAAGCCTGCCCCTGCCTTCCCATCAGCCAGGAAGTACATAAGGGTGGGAGACAGTGGTGGCATGCAGAGCTGGTCCTGACCTGAGGCCAGGTATGAGGCAACAGGGGCAGGAAGGGACATGAAAGAAAGCTGATAGGGAATGGAATCGTGTGCTGTCCAGAGCTGCCTATGGGAAAAAAAAAAACAAAAACAAAAAAACCTCAATGTGCATGGCCTCAGACCAAAGAAGGGAATCCTTACCAGTTTTAGAGGCCAGAAATCTGCAGTGTAGGTACTGGAGGCACGGGCTCCATCCGAAGGCTCCACGGCACAGCTCGCCACCTCTTGGCACAGGTGATGGCCTTCCAGTCCAGCGTCTGGATCTGTGCAAGGGATTCTGGCTCCACTACTTCTTCCCAGCTTGCTTTTTCTGCCTGTGTGTATATGTGTGCCTTTGTGGAGGGGCTCAGGATCTGGCATATTTAAGTCCACATTCTCTAATGGGATGGTAGATTTTGGCGAATCACACCATTGTCCCCCAGCTTTTCACTCCTCCAACATAACACACCCATACACATAATACACTCCCAGCACACGTACATCCACCCACCTCCACACAACTAATACTCTCCCCCCCCCCCATATATGTGTATGACTCTGTGTGTGTTTTCCCACACGTATGCATGCTCACTCCAGGTCACAAAGCACTTCCCCTTGGCTACTGGCCAGCCTGCCTGCCCATCCCCTCTAGGCTGGCCTGCCTGTTAAATGGTGCTCTGAGACCTCCTCCTTCTCCCCTGGGCGTTTGTGGTGTGAAGAGTCTGGACTCAGCAAGTAATGGGTGCCTGCAGATGTTACTCGAGGGAATGACTTGGTGAGCACGTTAAGTTTTAAAGCCCTGGGTCACAGGGCACTCGTCTGGCAGACGGCTTTGGCACAGTGGTTGATAAGTGACTAATTCACAACCCACCAACCACAGCCAGCAAACCTCTAAGCAGAGTCTCCTCTCCTACTGGCAGCCACTACCCACCATGGGGTTCACCCCTCCCCCCGCTTTGCTGCCACCTGTCACCTCTGTCATCCCTATTCCCATCCTCTTGACACCTTTACCCCTTGCTCACACAGTGAACTCTGGGTGGGGGTTGAAGCCCAGGTCTCAGCCCCAGGCTGAGCGTCAAGAAGACACTGAACAAATATGGGGGGTGGGCAATCCTACCAAGAAGCCTGTTCGTAGCCCACCACTTTCTTACCTAACTCTCCCCACAAGTGCTTGGTGCTGATTAAGCCACAGCCAGCTACCGTCTCCCAATGCTGTTATCACATGAGTGAGTGACTCATTTCCAGCAATTGGACTTTGACGCTAAAGCTAAAGGATGAGGCAGAGGAGGAGAGGTGTTTGGGGTACAGAGGAAAGGCTGGGCTTTGACAGGGGCCCCAGGAAAATCCCATGGACTTCACAATCATCCTTTCCTTCCCAACAGCCTTTCCTCAGCACAGTCCAACACCCCCTCATCATTCTACCTAGCAGCTCCCCCCTCCACTCAGCTCCACGTCACATGCCACGCGGCACACACCTTCCTCCTTCCCCTGCTCCCGCTACGTTCTCTGTAGCTACTGTGGCCCTGAGCTCCTTGGTCCCTTCGCATCTAGCCCTTGCCAGCCTTGCATGACACTGCTGCCTTCCGACAGCAATGGTCCATGCTGCCGTCCCTGCCACCTGCTCCCATCTCAGACTCTGTCCCTGCCACCTGCTCCCATCTCAGACTCTGTGAAGGCTCAAGCACTCTCCTTCCTGGCCCTCTTTAGTGCTACCACTTGAGCCATGTCCCCAGCGCTTCCTTCCTTTCCCTCTCAAGCCAAATGCAGACCAGCTTGGAAGGCTGACCTGTGCTTGCAGAACACCTCCTTTGGTGAGGGACAAAACTTCCCATATCTTCTTGTCGATGGAGACTGACACCTTTAGTCTCCACAATCAAGGCCAATTTCAGATAGGGTCCATCCTGTTCCTACAGTGACCAGAACCCACGCCCTCCTGTCCCCAACACTTTTCCCTCATGGATTTGGGGCACTGGTCCTTCAGCCCCCTTCCTCCCCACTGGCTTTCTCCTGCCCAGTCCCTGTCCACTGGAGAGAACCAGTGTCACCTGGTGCAGGCCAGGCCTGGCACCTGTACACCCTATCTCCACTCCCATTTATCCTGCCGGGGCGGCCTGAGCGAGTGCCTGCTGGGAGGACCGCAGCCATGACCACAAGCAGACAGGGTCTCCCTTCAGCAGCTTTGCCCTCCTCCCTCCCCCCCCCCCACACGCTGCACAGAGCAACCTTTGTCAAACCACAGTGTAATCACAGCCCTGTCTGCTCCAAGCCCCCAGCAGCCATTCCAGCTGCTAGGAAGCAGCTCTGTTTACCTGGCAGTTGGGGTTTGGTTTTATTAGACAAGGTGGAAGTTTCCTTACAAGTGGGGGCATTAGAGGGATTGTCACATCTCCGGGAATCTGCTGCCTGGATGATTATTTTTCTTTACGTATGTGAGTTAAAGGGTTCCATTAGCACAAACTCTGAGCACACATAAGATCATGTATGTGAGCAAGTGGCACTTAGGAAATGCTGAGAACTAGGTCCAAAGGTCAGTGATAGACAAGGAGAGGCACCGCCGTCCCAGAGATAGGAGGAAGATATTGCCAGAGCTTGAGGAGGTAGACAGGAAGGAGACCACTAACAGGGATTGCTAAGGGAGGTGATGAAGTTGTCCTGGAATTAGATTGTGGTGACAAATATGCAATGCTGAATAGATCTAAAAACCATTGAGTTGGGTTAGTTTAAACGAGTGGATTTTATGCTATGCAAATTATACCTAAATAAAACTGTTATTTTAAAAAAAAAAACTACCCTGTGCAATTGTGCCAGTAAGGACAAAACCTTCCCATAGGGAAATACTGAAGGCTGAACAATCAAGGAAGGCAGAGTGCAGAAGGAGGAGGAGCAGGCAGAAGAAGAAGCAGGACCCAGTGAAAGGTTTTAGAAGCTTAGGGCTCTACACAGATGCATGAGCTCAGACTCGAGAAGCCATGCAGCATCAGGAGGACGAGGATACTTACAACTAGGTCACAGAGAAGTTCAGGGGCCAGGCATCAGTGGCACCAGTACTGGCACACACACACACATACACACAGATGTATTCATTTCTGCAGGAATTCCCTATGGCTGCGGCAGGAAAGTACACATTTGGGAACTTAAAACAACACAATTGTGAAGCTGGGAAGGTGGCTCAGTGGTAGAGTGTTTGCCTTGCATGCATGAGGCCCTGGGTTCGATTCCTCAGCACCACATAAAGAGAAAAGGCTGGAAGTGGCACTGTGGCTCAAGTGGTAGAGTGC